TTTATCTTTGGTTTCATTTTATTTCTATTTTACATTTTACTTTCACTTGCTTTTATTTTAAAAAGGAAAATGAGAAATAAATCGAAATTTAAAAAAAAAATAACAAAAATAATTCCTATAAATTTGAATACTTTTAATGGTAGTTCTCGGCCACCATACAGGACCTTGCAGCACTCTTGGGTCCATAGTTCGACCAAATGAAAAATTGAATAATAAACTTCAACACGATTATCATTTCATTGACGCTGTGCTTTTATGAAACGCTCACGAGGCACACCGAAGTGAGTCTCACGTTAAAAATGGCAGCAGCCGTCCCCCCTCCCCCAGAGAGTTGCAAAGGCGAACGACAATACAAACAAACAAATAACAAGTTCTTGCTCACCAAACAACAACAATTTCTAGGTTACAAGGTTACAAACCTTGTGCTCACAATTTAGGTTCGTCTTATGGCACAGTTACAGCCAACACCCGGGGCAGTTCTCCACCCATTCAGCCGGTGTCCTAGCCGATTTGGATCCCCGGTCCAAATCCGCCAGCGGATATGGATCCCCGGTCCAAACCTTCTAGCAGATATGGACATTCGGTCCAAATCTGCTAGCGGATATGAACCCCCCTGTCCAAATTCGCTAGCGGTTTTGGACCCCTCCCAGTGGATTTGGACCCCCAACAAAACTGAGCTTAGCTATGTAAGAACTTGGAATCGAGTGCTTTTCGCCTAAAGTATATATCGCAAGTCCATTCCTACGCGAAAAATTGGTGTGAAACTTTGAATAAAAGGTTTTCACGACGCTCAAAGCGTAAATATCAATTTTGTGCTTGGTCCGATCATTCTTTTTAACAAAAACGACGCCGTAAGCAGCAAAAGCCCGTTCTTTGTTATTGACACTACCTTGAGGAATAATAACTACCGATATGTTAATCTTCCGTCTCCGTCTTCTTCCAGTAGTGTCGGAGGAATATTGCTGTCACAGCCCACGAATGTCGCTTATGGGTACGGGTTGAGGTCCGGTTTTTCCTGGTCTCAATTCCGCTTCGTCATAACAGACCGCCTTAATAAATTCGTTACTCACAGTTACAATGGGGCTTAATTTGTTTTTGCTTGTTTTGCCAAGTGTATTTCGTTCTGTGTAGAATTGAATGTATTTTATTGTCTCCCTTGTAATTTAGTATTTAACACAACCAAAGGGTTAAATGAACTGATTATTTCTTCATTCATTTATAACTAATTTATCGATACTGCTGTTCACCCTCGACAAATGATTGGTATGAAGTAATAAAGGGATAAATATTTACTAGACAGAGTCGCTTTGACGCGCTAAATAATCGTCCTAATAGGGAATAGTTCAGGTGCGTGGAACATGTTATCGGCACTGAGTAATTTATGTTATTGTTACTGTGTGCTCCGCAATAAAATTGGATTTCACCGCCTACTGCAAAAGGTATTATTCTCCTTTATCATAATTCTCGTGATTCCATCCGTCAGCGATGGCCGAAACGAAAGCGAACGAGGTTTTTCACTATCTTCGCGATATCGAGTATCCGATCGAGTTTTCGAAAGATCAGAAAAGAAATTTACGTAAGAAAGCCCTAAAACTCGTTCATAAAGATGGAACGCTCTTTTTCATTGGCTAGAGAAACGGTCAGCCTAGATGTAGTTACCTTATTTGATGCAAATGATGCCTAACAGGAAAATTTGGTAGGGGGGTCGAAATCTGCGAAGAGGGGTCCATATCTGCTGGCGGATTTGGACCGGGGAACCAAATCCGCGCGGGGGGGGGCGGGGGGTACGGTTTAAATCTGCTGACACCGGTAACACACCTGGCCATCTTACATCGTAGCGATGAGCGAAAATCACGATGCTGAGTTAACGGTCTTCGCCGTCAGCCGCAGTTGATAAGATCGAAGATCGGACAAGTCATACATTTGCGACTTGATCAGACGTGTGCCCTCTCTTACCGCGAATCGCCATCGAAGTCAGATTTTACTGTGTCACCTTTCAAAATCGGTGCCTACGCATAAAGGCAAGGGGCCCAATTTCCATGATCGGTGCAAAATTGTCTTTGAATGTGCAAATTCGACTTCGGACACCGCCATTTTGAATATTGCCAAGGAACTAGTAAACATACCTACGGCGTTGCCTCACCTCAGAAAGAAGACGGCAGCAACTGTTTATCAGGTGCTTATGAAACCCACGATTCGGTTACTGCCGATCGTAGTTGTTATCCAAATGGCGGCCATTATAGTCGAAGTTTAAGCACTTTTGAAGACAGCTTTCGAAAGGTTAGGATTCTGGATTCTAAAACCGCGGTGAGTAGTAAATTTCAATATACATTACGTGGCGGATATGACGACAAAATGGTTCAGGGACATAATTCTTCTTTACCATCTATTGTAATCGTTACATTTGATCTTCGATTAAACGCAATGAACAGACATGGTCAATGAAGCTTTCAAAAATTCAATTTCAATACCTATAACTTCACAAATTTCTTTGTTATTAACACTACCTTGAGGACTAATAATTACCGATATGTTAATCTTCCGTCTCTTCGTCTTCTTCCAGTATTGTCGGAGGAATATTGTCTCTTACCGAGTGAAGAAGGTCTCGGACTGGGGACGGCGGCGGTTTTAAATGCTGTAAATGATTCCATGGAATAAGATCAAAGTATGAAAACGTAAACGCCTTCGTTAATCGTTGGGACAATGAGAAGTAGTGACTTTCTTTGAGAATTCCTGCTATAAACAAATGTCTTTGTAGCTGCTTTTGCCGCAGTAACGCCAGAGCGTCCTCTCGTTGTTTTCTCTCTTCTTCTCGAATCTTTCTTTCGTGCTCTTCCTTTCTTCTCTGCTCTTCCAGTCGCCGTCTCAGTTCTTCTTCCTCTTGACGCATTTTCTCTAGGAACGCTATCCTCTCTGACTCCTCCATAGCTTTAATTCTCTCTTCTTCTTCCCTTAGCCGTGCAGCTTCAAGTTCGGCCTCTATTTTCTCTTGTTCTTTACGCAATTCCTCTTCGAGTTTTCTCTGTGCGAGTACCTGTTGTTGTCGTTTCTTCCAGTCTTCCTTTGCGCGACGTTCTCTTTCAGCCTTAATACTCGCTAGTCGCTCTTGCTCCATCACCTTTTCCTGTTCCCGCCGTTTTGCTTCTTCTTTTGCCTCACGTCTTCGCCTTCAAAAAGACAAATTATAGTTTATTACAATGAACAACAACAACAAAACTCACTTCCATACATATTTGTTATTCACTGGCGGGGGATCCGCAATGGGAAAACTTTGCTAGAGGTCTTGGCTAGGGCCTCGGGTGGTACGCAAGACAAAGGGCACAGTTTTTCCCAATACGGACCGACATAGGCTAGTGAATAATATTTTTATTTTTTTCTAACACTGAACGAAATGCTTGTCTTAAGTACCCGACGATTTAGGGCTACAAATACGAGTTTAATTACGGGAAGATCCTCTATAAACTGAACGATTCTTCAGCGAGTAGATGATAAACGAAACATGTCATTTCAATTAAAGAGAAAGACTTCACCGAAACATTTTCATTTACGTAATGGTAAAAGTAACTTCAAAGGCTTTCAAGCAAACTTTGAAACAGAGGAAAGATAGCGCATGTACACTTTTCATTTAACAACAGTACCGGTATGGCAATCACACACGAGGTAAATGACAATAGCGACTATCTTCTCTTAAAAACCACTCAGAGATTTTACGGAAAGTATTTTTCGTTTACAACGACGATTAATCTTCGAAGATTCACCTCTGCAGTTTAAACGTCTCGAAAACTTAAATTTTAAGTGCATTCAAGTGTGTGTTGTGGAGTGGTGGAGTCGTGGGAGTCTGCTTGTGTGTTTTCTGCATTGGCGTGTGTAAATCGTGTCTTTCTTCCACCGAAAAACTGGAGTGAAATGAGACGCTCTTACTAGGGAGACACAAGGGGATTTAATTTCACTTTCACTTATCGAATTCCTCCGGTTTCTGTTGTTGTACGGTAGAAATGTCCAAATCTAAGGGACTTGTAAAGAATAAGAGAAATTGTATTCACAGAAGATCTCAAAACCTCCCTCAACGTTTTACAAACCAACAAATTGTGGTGGATGCCATCGTAAAATTATTTTGAGATGTGTTTCGTTTTTGGTAGTGTCACATACGGCAAGATCTGAAAAGATTATATCGTAGGATATACATAATTTGCTGATTTAAAGGTAGGAAACAAATTTTCCTTCAAGTTTTATGATCGAACAATCATACCTATTAAGATATTTCTGCGAGGAAAACTTCTGTTTTAAATCGCGCACAATCCTGAAATGATTGTGAGATGTTTATCACTTTCTGCTGTCTTCCATAGTGTCACGGCAAGTCCTTGTAGTGTCACGAACTGTCACGGCTGTCTGTCTGTCATGGTTCGAAATAATCATCCCTAATAAAGTGGCGTCATATTCGCACACGAAATGCACCAAGCACAAGCACGAACACAGGCACAAGTAAGAGCATAAATACGAGAAACAAAAACATTTTTTTTAACAAGGTGAGTGAAATAAGGCCTTGTGCTTGCGTAAATGCTTGCTCCCTTACATAGAAGAGGCTATTAATGCAGACATGCTTCGAATACAGACAACAGCCTTACCTAAGCTCTTCTTCCCTTTTCTTCACTTCTTCTTCAGCCTCTAACCTAAGTTGTTGTAATCGAGTCTCCTCCTCAGCTGCTCTTTTCTTGGCCTCTTCCCTCTCCCTTCTCTTGCGTTCGACATCTTGGCGTCTTCTTTCTGCGGCTGCCGCTCGTTCTGCCGCCCTTCTGGCTGCTCTTGACTCCTGTGTGGGTTTCTGCTCCTCTGGCTCGGGCGTTCTCTCTCCTCCTGGTTCCGGTTCTGGTTCCTGTTGAATATCTTGAGGCTCAGGAGCTTTTGGTGCCAGGAAAGGGACCTCAACAATCGGCGTAGTGTTTGGTTCTGAGGGTGAATCTGAAGTTTTCTTTTCGCTTAATTTATCGGAAGCTTTAGAGGAAGCTCTGGAAAATGAAAGAGCTGACGAGACGACAGTTCTTTGTGATGTTTCCACTTCATGTTCACCTGTTTCTGAGTCAACTCTTAAAGGTTCAGGCTTCTCTCCTTCCGTTACTGTTGCGTTACTAACTTTTTCTTGATTCTCCTGCTGATCTTTTTTCTGTGTCTCTTCTTTCCCTTTCCCTGTTTTCGAAGTTTTATTTGAGGCTTTAGATGGTTGTTTTGTTGGTTTCTTGCCTGCCTTCTTTTTTCCCAAGGGTTGTTTCTTAGCTGTCACTGTCTTGGCTTTCCCTTTGACTTGTCTTTGTGTTTGTTTGTTTTTGAGACCAGCTGGCGGCTTAGATTCTGCTGGGCGGGGAAACTGAAATGGCTTTTGCTCTTTCTTTGGGGACGACGTCGCCATTCTTGACTTTGCTTCGATCAAAGCATATTCCTGTTTCACTTCTGTTACAACAGCATCCAAAGCTGTTTTGAATTCTTTATTCTCGTCATCTGATTCTTCGTCATTGATTTCATTAAACAAAACTCTATGAAAGCTGGGCTCTTCTTCTTTAGTAGCATAACTGAAAACGTCAACTTGCACGTCAGCATTAGAAACCCGTTCCCAGGGAATCGATTGAGCTGTATTAGATGAACCAGATCGCTTGGTTGATGCGGATCCATCTTTGACTGCACAAGAGAGAAATTGAGTTAACATACAGCAATGAAGCACAGAGAAGCCATTTTAGATATCATTCATACCAAAGCGTTTCATTTTTCGTAATTGAAATCTCTCTGTACTTATTTCGTAAAAATAACGAGAACAGACAAAAAACAGGAGCAACAACAGACAACATCAAAACGATATTTAACAGGACTCTTAATTTGAGAAAAAGGCTTTTTAAAGCAGGCAAAACCAAGAATAGAAAACCCGAACAATATACCCGCCTCAAAATCCCGAGGTCAATTCACACTAACAATAAAGCCTCGCTGTGGGATGATACTGTAGAGTTTTAGGGTGAATCCTATGTTCCGAGACGCTTCCGGCGCAGCAAATGGGCCCATCTTGCCCTCTCGGGATTGCGCGCCTTGATCCCCCGCATGGAAAAAAATAACTTTCAAGTTACTACTTCTTTGGTAACATGATGGGGTAGAGAAATCATGCTATTATGTAAGCGTACATGATAAACTCACGTTTTTCGTAGTATTTATACACATTGGTATCTGGGCCAGGAGGCTGCGACTGGCCAGTCTTGCTCAATCGTTTGGGGATTGGTGGCAAGTTTTTTAGAGCCTCTATTTCCATCACTTCACCTGAGAAATAAAAACGCAGTAATCTACAG